GGTTTTGCAATTCAGAGGCTTTAGTGTCCTGAGGCAGACCACTAACCCATATATTGCGACCGTTAGCTGTCTGTGCCTTTTGGGAAGCGCTGGCGTCTAGTATTGCATTGCATTTGATATTTAGTACTCTATTCAACAAAAATCAAATGAGTCTCAAATGAACTCACTTTTCGAGTCTCTATTTTTAAGTTTATTATCCTTTTGGACATTTGAACTATAAAACAGAAAACTTGTTATTCATTGAAACCTTTTGAGCATCAATTAAAGTGATTATCAATTATTAAATTGGTTTAACACATGAGTGCAACGAATAGGTCCATTGAATTGACGCCAACTTTTTAAAACTCCATTTCATTTCAATTTCATTCAATGTTCACAAACCTCTTGGATTTCGACGATTCCTTTTCCGATAATTTGTTTGAATCTTTGGATGAGTTATTCAACTCTTCAGTGGAGTTCTTGTTCTCATTGGACTCACTCTTAGAATCGGAACTATTGTTCGATTCGTTAATCGATTTACGGATTGATTTCTTTTCATTGGTATCTCTGCTGTCATTAATATCGCAACTGTTGGCGCCCTCGAGATCGCCATCCATATCACTGTGAGTGTCGTCCAAATGGACAATCAGTGACGAGTCATCGGTGGTCGTACTCTTGAGTTTGGACGCGTCCATAGATATCTTGTCGTCACTCGTGAGGGACACCACTACTGCAGCCGTTTCCGGTCGCGGCGGTGATAGCAGTGATGGCTTCTGTTCGGGAGCCGAGTCTTCGCTATAGTTCTTACATTTTACCTCATTTTGTGATGTTTTCATATTTACTGTTAAAATTGTTTCCAATTAGTGCCGAATGTGATGAATGAGACATTTGTCTGGTTTAACCATCCAATGGACGAGTGATAATAAGCTGCTCCCGTGAGTGACACACTTTGACTGACACTCAATGGTCTAATCTATTGATTCATTGAATATATCAATAATAATATGGTTTGAGATATGAATAGCGATTAGAAGTGAATTCAAAGTAAACACAAATCAATGCATTCAAGCGATTGTTGTCAGTGTTTGGCGAATAATCACTGACTCTCTCATTGAGTCTCGTATTCACTCTGTGTTTGCCATCAATTCATACGTTCACTCCATTCACACATACAGTGCCTCTCATTCACTGAATATAACTTACGTTTTACTCACACAACTCAACGCTATACGCAATATACTCTTGAATCCTAAACATTGTTTTATCGCTCAATGTATCTATAAATGAAAAAACTATTAAATATAACTTATATTTTGCTTAATTTAGGCAAAATTCCATCAAATCTCAGATCATTTATTCATTCATTGACTTCAAGAATATTTATTAATTCCTTATAAATTCTACAACTGTTACCAAATCAATATTCTATAGCCTACCGAATTCTGAATTAAATGATCTAGGTTAGCGGCTATATTGAAATTACGGTTAAATGTTATCTGATGTTCGCTGACAAAGACTGTTTATACTATACTATACTATACAGTACACATACAGCAATACTTTTATTTTCAAGTACTGAACTCAAAATGAATACACATGTGATTATAAATAAATATTAATAAATTAAAGATAAGCTTATTTGCGACTTTTAATTATATTCAAAATTTCATGTAGTAATGTTGGGAATAAATATTGTTTTATACTAGAATTTGTTACTATAAATTTCACTGATCAAGAATATTTTTTTATACAACTTTTATTAAAATCATTTATTAAATTTTTTTGTCAAATTATAATTAAAGTAACATTTTAATTTATTAATTCAAAAAACTCAAAGGAATTGATTGCATAACAAATTTTGATGAAAAGGTGTGACAAAACTGAAAACACTACCAGAATATTAATTTTCAATGTTTGCTAAACAAAATACACAAACATTGAAGTGAATGCCAATAACAAGGATCAGTGTTTTGTGTCAATTGTCACCCATCCCTCAACTAACAAGTGTTTGTAAACTAAAGTATAGCTCAATATTATAACAATTAATTCATTATTCTGTGGTATATTGCAAAATACAATCACAGAATATTTGCCATGCATTGCAATACTATGAACAAATTGGGGCAAATATCCACTCTCCCCACCCCCTAAACGTGTACTATACGTTGTGAGCGACCCCTATGTAAGCCTTGTCGCCACAAACCAGTGAAAAGGGTTTGATTTGATTTGATATATATTTTTGTAAATGAATTGTTGTTATATTTATTAGCATTTCATTCAATGATTTAGAAATGAGTTATCAATTGTACAGAAACACTACATTAGGCCATACCTTACAGGAGACACTCGACGAGTTCATTCAGGTATCACTTGCCACCACTCATTACCACTCAATGGTGTCATTCACTGATTATCTCCCCGTATGGACAGTCCGGTCAAATCAGTCCCCAACTGGCCCTCAAAGTGCTTCTCCAGTTCGACCGCTCTATCAACCTATCGCTGGCCAATCGCGTCAAGACCAGGCTGTCCTTCAAGGTATTCAAGGTATTTAATGTGTCAAATGGTGTCTTAATCAATGTCTCTGTGTTTGGCGTCAAGGCGGCACATCTCAAGACATATAGATTTTGCGATAATGTCTGGACTTTTGTGCTCAAAGACGTCGAGTTCCGTGAAGTGCAAGAGTTGGTCAAAGCGGACAAAGTGAAGATCGTTGCCTGCGATGGCAAGAGCTCACAGGCCAAGGATGACAGGGAATGACCGCTCATTCAACTCATTGTCAATCATTTCTATTCTTATGGTTTTGTGATTTATTTTAATCATTGCTTTCATGTATTGATTGTCAAATGTTTTATACATTTATGTCTCATATAATTGAGGCTTAATTTTAATACCCGATACCGTAATACACAATAGCTGTACAATTATTGTCATAAAATTATTACTAAACAAATGATACTTTCATCTAATTTTAGTCCCATTTTAAGGCATCAATATTTTTCACTAAATATTTGTTAAATTTTTATTCAATTGTTTTTTGTTTTTGCGATACATTTAATGAATTTATAATTTTTTTCCGGAGAAATCATATATTTTAAAAAATAACAAAATTATAAATGCATTGAAAAATAAATGTCAAAAAATGATTGCAATGTTTGTTGTAATTTGTGTTAAGCCTTGCGTTGAGTCTCAGACAAAGCCATTGAGTGAATGGCGACTACGAGTGAGCCATCAGTTCATTAAGTGTTGTGTTGAATGCGATCGCAGTTCACGTCAATTGACATCACTTTGTGATTGTATTGAGTCTTCACGCGATTATCACTTCCAGTACACCATTCGTGACGTGTGGGCCACACGAGTGGACACCTATTACTCGACATATCCGTAGATCCAATCACCATCTGTGAGCACACACTTGGATGACTGGCACGACATGAGTGACCACTCCATCACCGAGAAGACCGGTTACGAGGCCTCCGATATCATCGAAGACGCCCTCCAGTTGGCCGTCGATGAAGAGCTCAAGGATGAGGTGCGGACACTGATGTCGATGTATCACATACTGTATGTCTTATCTATTGATCTATTTATAGGACATCATCAGCGAATCAAGTCATTCATCAAAGGGTAAGATATGATTAGTTTTAAGTGTTTGCGCTGCGATTCAGCCCTACCTGTCCTCCCTGTCCTCCCTGTGCCCACACAACACACAACTCGTATTCATTTGCTAAATGTGTTAATAAATATCGACAAAAACAATACAAATATTGCGTTAAATGATTAAACACTGGATTTAACTATAACTGGATGTCAAAGACAAAGCGAAAGACAAAGATTTCAAATGAGTGGAAATGTACTGACAATCGAGTAATCAATGAATGGTTGCCAACAATGAAGTCTTAATGTCTTCACTGAGTTGCAAGATATCGATTCCATTAGATCCATGAATATATCGATTAATGGATTGAAAACAAGAGTTTATTAACGCTTAACTCTTATACCGATTGTGACATAAATTCATCATTTGATTCAACGTTAATTAGATTTAATACTAATATAAGAGTAACTGAAAGCCTATTATTGTTAAGCAAGTGATGGACAGACACTTCAGACACTTCATGGACAGACACTTCATGTCTTAGACGACAAGACATAGCATTTACTGATAGCTTATAAACCACTGAATGCTTGTAATACCAGCTCTTAGTCTTAATATATTTAGTAAAACTAATGATAATTTTGATGGAATTAAAGCCCAAAACACTGAATACAATACAATATTTGCCAAATCTGTTTGTTTTATACAAATACTGTATATATCTATAAATTTTTGCCAACAATTTTAACAGTAAATATGAAAACATCACAAAATGAGGTAAAATGTAAGAACTATAGCGAAGACTCGGCTCCCGAACAGAAGCCATCACTGCTATCACCGCCGCGACCGGAAACGGCTGCAGTATAACAATTTTAACAGTAAATATGAAAACATCACAAAATGAGGTAAAATGTAAGAACTATAGCGAAGACTCGGCTCCCGAACAGAAGCCATCACTGCTATCACCGCCGCGACCGGAAACGGCTGCAGTAATGGTGTCCCTCACGAGTGACGACAAGATATCTATGGACGCGTCCAAACTCAAGAGTACGACCACCGATGACACGTCACTGGTTGTCCATTTGGACGACACTCACAGTGATATGGATGGCGATCCCGAGGGCGCCAACAGTTCCGATATTAATGACAGCAGAGATACCAATGAAAAGAAATCAATCCGTAAATCGATTAACGAATCTAATTCTGATTCTAAGAGTGAGTCCAATGAGAACAAGAACTCCACTGAAGAGTTGAATAACTCATCCAAAGATTCAAACAAATTATCGGAAAAGGATTCGTCAAAATCCAAGAGGTTTGTGAACATTGAATGAAATTGAAATGAAATGGAGTTTTAAAAAATTGGCGTCAATTCAATGGACCTATTCTTTGCACTCATGTGTTAAACCAATTTAATAATTGATAATCACTTTAATCTCTGCTCAAAAGGTTTCAATTAATAACAAGTTTTCTGTTTTATAGTTCAAATGTCCAAAAGGATAATAAACTTAAAAATAGAGACTCGAAAAGTGAGTTCATTTGAGACTCATTTGATTTTTGTTGAATTTCCATGATTTATAGTTTACGTTACGTTATGATCTGCGGTCGCGAAGGGTTTTCCGTGTCTGTCGATTGCCAGCGTTATATACCCAATCACCAGACGGAGTCCTGTGATTTCGGAGACTTAACGTTTTGGTATTCTCAAAACACGGCAAAGTAGTGAGCGCTAAGATCATCAAAAATGCACGAATGACTGGTTCCCGATGTTATGGATTCATAACTATGGAGAACAGCGAACAGGTCTCCAAATGTATCACTCATTTGAACAAAACTGAATTGCATTCTAAGACTATTACACTATCGAGAGTGAGTTGACCGTTATTTTAGACAATTATCCATTTGTTGCCAATTATTCAATAAATGCTAAACGAGTGAACCATCGATTAGAATCGACCCCAAGAGAGCACTTCCAAGTCGACCGTCGCTCGAAAAGTGAATTCTACGAAACGGGTCGTCACTAAGACTTCTAATAAATCCAATGCTTCTAAAGACGGCGATAATAAAGAGACCAAAAGTGACGACAAGAATGAAGACAAGAGTAGAAGCAAGAGTTCTGATGACAAGTCTGGCAACAAAACCACATCAGAGAGCGGTTCCAATAAAGGAAACGACAGCAAAGACGACAAACGGAAACCAATTCGGGCTCCACTTCGAGACCGAGTAGTGACTTCTTTTAGGAGACCTAATGTTCCCTTCCGTCGCCCCCAACCACCCTTTCACAGGCCATTCATGGGCGCCAGCATTCGAGGCTTCCATAGGGGAGGCTTCACGCGCGGCGGTGGTATGACTCGCGGCACTTCTTTCTTTCGCGGCGGTTACTCCCGAGGAATGGGTTACTCACGCGGAACAGGTTTTATGCGCGGAGGCATTCGACCCGTTATGGGCCTCAATAGGCCGGACGTCGACCGACAGATCAGAGAACGCGAGAGAGAGCGACGAATCCGAGACGAGAGGAGACATCGCGAAGAGTTGATGAGAGTTGAGAAGGATATGGAACGCGAGGAAAGGATTCGCTTCGAGAGAGAGAAGGAGAGACTGAAAGTGGAGAGAATGAGACTCGAGAGAGAAAAGGCTGAGTTCTTCCGCGTGGAGAGAGAGAGGGCTAAACTGGAGAGAGAGAAGATTGAGAGGGAAAGGGAGGAACTGAGGCGACGACAGCAGAATCAGTCCATTATTGGCAACCGAGTGGAAGACACGCGTTCGCGACCATCGGTTGTGTCGACTCTCGCCAAACGGCCCTTTGAGACACGAGAGGACACCAACTCCTTCTATGAGGAGCGCAAACGACAGCAACAAATGCAACGCTTCGACAACCACTTCGTTCCTGGAAGACCCACATACCAAGAGTCGAGCCCTTCGGTTGCCAACCGGTAAGTCATTCATCGTTTGGTTCATAAAATTTGGCCCAAAAACTCTTCACTCAATTGCAATGCATTTAATGCTCGAAACAGTCATTCCATTGCCAACTCGTATAACAATCGCAACGATTCCTATAAACGAAACACAAGGTTTGAACCGCCGATGACTGGCAACAACTCGCGGGCAGTGTTTGACATGAGACGCGATTCACGGCATGGCATGAGTCACGACAGGGACGAGAGGAAGTAATCCATTAATCGATATATTCATGGATCTAATGGAATCGATATCTTGCAACTCAGTGAAGACATTAAGACTTCATTGTTGGCAACCATTCATTGATTACTCGATTGTCAGTACATTTCCACTCATTTTAAATCTTTGTCTTTGGCTTTGTCTTTGACATCCAGTTATAGTTAAATCCAGTGTTTAATCATTGAATACAGTATTTGTATTGTTTTTGTCGATATTTATTAACACATTTAGCAAATGAATACGAGTTGTGTGGGCACAGGGAGGACAGGTAGGGCTGAATCGCAGCGCAAACACTCTTAAAACTAATCATATCTTACCCTTTGATGAATGACTTGATTCGCTGATGATGTCCTATAAATAGATCAATAGATAAGACATATTAATACAGTATGTGACACATCGACATCAGTGTCCGCACCTCATCCTTGAGCTCTTCATCGACGGCCAACTGGAGGGCGTCTTCGATGATATCAGAGGCCTCGTAACCGGTCTTCTCGGTGATGGAGTGGTCACTCATGTCGTGCCAGTCATCCAAGTGTGTGCTCACAGATGGTGATTGGATCTAAGGATATGTCGAGCAATAGGTGTCCACTCGTGTGGCCCACACGTCACGAATGGTGTACTGGAAGTGATAATCGCGTGAAGACTCAATACAATCACCAAAAGTGATGTCAATTGACGTGAACTGCGATCGCATTCAACACAACACTCAATGAACTGATGGCTCACTCGTAGTCGCCATTCACTCAATGGCTTTGTCTCAGAGACTCAACGCAAGGCTTAACACAAATTACAACAAACATTGCAATCGTTTTTTGACATTTATTTTTCAATGCATTTATAATTTTATTATTTTTTAAAATAAATGATTTCTCCGGAAAAAATTATAAATTCATTAAATGTATCGCAAAAACAAAAAACAATTGAATAAAAATTTAACAAATATTTAGTGAAAAATATTGATGCCTTAAAATAATCATTCAAAATGGGACTAAAATTAGATGAAAGTATCATTTGTTTAGTAATAATTTTATGACAATAATCGTACAGTTATTGTGTAGTACGGTATCGGGTGTTAAAATTAAGCCTCAATTATATGAGACATAAATGTATAAAACATTTGACAATCAGTACATGAAAGCAATGATTAAAATAAATGACAAAATCATAAGAATAGAAATGATGGACAATGAGTTGAATGAGCGGTCATTCCCTGTCATCCTTGGCCTGCGAACTCTTGCCATCGCAGGCGACGATCTTCACTTTGTCGGCTTTGACCAACTCTTGCACTTCACGGAACTCGACGTCTTTGAGCACAAAAGTCCAGACATTATCGCAAAATCTATATGTCTTGAGATGTGCGGCCTTTCGCCAAACACAGAGACATTGATTAAGACACCATTAAGACACAGACAATGAATACCTTGAAGGAGAGCCTGGTCTTGACGCGATTGGCCAGCGATAGGTTGATAGAGCGGTCGAACTGAAGAAGCACTTTGAGGGCCAGTTGGGGACTGATTTGACCGGACTGTCCATACGGGGAGATAATCAGTGAATGACACCATTGAGTGGTAATGAGTGGTGGCAAGTGATACCTGAATGAACTCGTCGAGTGTCTCCTGTAAGGTATGGCCTAATGTGGTGTTTCTGTACAATTGATAACTCATTTCTAAATCATTGAATGAAATGCTAATAAATATAACAACAATTGATTTACAAAAATATATATCAAATCAAATCAAACCCTTTTCACTGGTTTGTGGCGACAAGGCTTATATAGGGGTCGCTCACAACGTATAGTACACGTTGAGGGGTGGGGAGAGTGGATATTTGCCCCAATTTGATGAGAGTATTGCAATGCATGGCAAATATTCTGTGATTGTATTTTGCAATATACCACAGAATAATGAATTAATTGTTATAATGTTGAGCTATACTTTAGTTTACAAACACTTGTTAGTTGAGGGATGGGTGACAATTGACACAAAACACTGATCCCTGTTATTGGCATTCACTTCAATGTTTGTGTATTTTGTTTAGCAAACATTGAAAATTAATATTCTGGTAGTGTTTTCAGTTTTATCAATTCCTTTGAGTTTTTTAAATTAATAAATTAAAATGTTACTTTAATTATAATTTGACAAAAAAAATTTAATAAATGATTTTAATAAAAGTTGTATAAAAAAATATTCTTGATCAGTGAAATTTATAGTAACAAATTCTAGTATAAAACAATATTTATTCCCAACATTACTACATTAAATTTTGAATATACAGTAATTAAAAATCGCAAATAAGCTTATCTTTAATTTATTAATATTTATTTATAATCACATGTGTATTCATTTTGAGTTCAGTACTTGAAAATAAAAGTATTGCTGTATGTGTACTGTATAGTATAGTATAAACAGTCTTTGTCAGCGAACATCAGATAACATTTAACCGTAATTTCAATATAGCCGCTAACCTAGATCATTTAATTCAAAAGTTGGTAGGCTATAGAATATTGATTTGGTAACAGTTGTAGAATTTATAAGGAATTAATAAATATTCTTGAAGTCAATGAATGAATGAATGAATGATCTGAGATTTGATGGAATTTCCCCTAAATTAAGCAAAATATAAGTTATATTTAATAGTTTTTTGATTTATAGATACATTGAGCGATAAAACAATGTTTAGGATTCAAGAATATATTGCGTATAGCATTGGGTTGTGTGAGTAAAACGTAAGTTATATTCAGTGAATGAGAGGCACTGTATGTGTGAATGGAGTGAACGTATGAATTGATGGCAAACACAGAGTGAATGCGAGACTCAATGCTCCACTCAATGAGAGAGTCAGTGATTACTCGCCAAACACTGACAACAATCGCTTGAATGCATTGATTTGTGTTTACTTTGAATTCACTTCTAATCGCTATTCATATCTCAAACCATATTATTATTGATATATTCAAGGAATCAATAGATTAGACCATTGAGTGTCAGTCAAAGTGTGTCACTCACGGGAGCAGCTTATTATCACTCGTCCATTGGATGGTTAAACCAGACAAATGTCTCATTCATCACATTCGGCACTAATTGG